CCATCCACGAGTCTGCCAAATCGAGCATCTTCTGGCTGAACTTGCCTATGGCGGTGTCGCCCTTGTCCAGTAGAATATCCATCTTCGACCGCTGGTCGTCCCTCTTGCTGTTGACAATCGGATCGCCGAGCAGGGGGTACAATAGCGTAGAATCGCACGCTTCAAATATCCCCACGAACACCATGAGTTCCCAGAAATTTCGCTCATCACCGTAGTAGGCCTTGATCTTCTTCGCCCTCACATTGAACACATGCTTCCAGTAATCCGCATCTGACATGCCATCAACTTCTCGGAGTAGGGGCACCTCCTCTTCGTCAGCATCAACAACACCCCGAGCGTCTGGATGTCCGACGAAGCTGTCGATCCCTATCTTGTAGACCAAACGCCGCAAGAGAGTCCTCTTCATATTCATCAACACATTTGTCCAGCGACTTTCACAAGGCCGAGGGTCCGACGACCCGAATAAAGCATGAACCAGTCCTGTGCACAGTTTGTCGATCGTGTCGGACTTGCCGTTGCAACACGGGCGACCAGTCTGAGGATGACGGCAGTAGTGCTTGATCCTCTCGCCACGCATGTCGCCATTCAGCAAAGGCATCAACGCTTTCAGGTCCTTGATGAACTGGGAGTCATCTGCGCCGCCCTTCCGCAGGTGAAAGTCAGCCGACAAGTCAAACAGAACATCAACCACGAGCTGGAACGTGTACTCGACATCCTCAGGGGGCGGCTGCATGATGCAATCGACGTTGCTCTCGACCAAGAGCTCAACTCCCATGATGTTCCGCTCGAGCTGGGTGCGGTACCTGTCGGCACTGGCGATGGAGAAATGTCTCATCGTATGCTTCTTGACGGCCTTGAGCTTCAGCTTCCCCCTGTGGTGCGCGTGCATGCCACACGTATCTGGCCAAAAAAAACAAGTAGTCGATTCTTTGCGCTCCTTCAGGATGTCCTCAGCACACTGACCCCACATTTTGAGGATGCTGAGGTTGGCGCTGGCTCTGTCTGCCATGGGCTGGAACGTGAACGTAGATACAGCAGACGAAGCTGGTGCGCTGCCCTCCGACCACTTCACGATGTTGAGCTCGTCTGGAATGGCCTTCAACAGCCCAGGGTAAATGTGCTTCGCCTTCTGGCCTTGCAGCTCGAACGGCTTTGCGATCATGTACTCGATGAAGTGGCCTTGGATGTCCGACTTTCTGTTGAGGAGCGTGAACTGCGCCGTCGATCTCTGGATGAGCGTTGGCTGCGCCACGTTCTTTCTCATGACGCGGTAGCGCTTCCCAGGCTTCCATGCTTGTCGCACTTCAACTTCATCCCATAGATGTCCGAAACCCAGGTGTACGAAACGGTGATCGCGAGTATCGGCATCTGTAATAGAATCACGGCTTCTCTTGAGACTGTCCCTGAAACCTTGCAGTTGTCTGGTGACCGCGATGTCGCAAGCAGCCTTCATCAAGCGACGATGGTCCACTCCAATGGCGCACTGCTTCTTGGAAGGTAAAAAGCACGCCCTCGATGCAATCACGAAGTCGTCGCTGGTCAAGTGTCGCTTGAGCTTCCCGAGCGTCGTCGACGACTTGTTCCCAATGAGCTGTGATACACCCGGAACCAACGCCACGCTCTTGAGCTTCATATCGTGTTCCGCTTTCTGCTTCGCCAGCTGGCCCCTCAGCTTCTGCGCGTGTTTTTTGGCCTTGCCCTCCCGAGCCTGCGCTGCGTGAGCATGAGACCGCTGCGAGTGCTGAGGCGAGTCGTCGATCTCGATGACCCCGAGCGCTAGCACGTCGCACAGCTCAACTGGCCCTGGCGGAACCTGCTGCTCAACTGGCCCTGGACGCAATGGAACCTGCTGCTCAACTGGCCCTGGTAGAACTGGCTGCTCAACTGGCCCTCGCGACGATGGAACCTGCTGCTCAACTGACCCTGGCGACAAAGGAACCTGCTGCTCAATCGGCCCTGGCGGCGATGGAACCTGCTGGGCTGCCACATGAACTGGTGTCCGTGGAGCCACCTCGCCGCCATCGCTCGAATCGTCGATGGTCCCGATGTCGGCCAGCATGTCGCTCAGGTGCTCCATGCCAGCCTCAACGTGGAAAGCCTCGACCACGGGCACCCGCAAGCCAGAGGCACGAACGATATGGAAGGCGGCGGTGGCAACCACCGCGAATATGGAAGCTGATTGCATCATCGATGCTCTCATTCTGAGAGAAACAACTTGGCCAAAATGGCTATCACGATGCTGATGGCGATGTTTGGGGGGATGATGCGCAGTGATGGCTATAGGTTTCCTATCTACGCGGGGTTTTGGTTGGGGGATAATGGTTTGGGGTAGTGACGGCCACTTGTGGGCTTGTTTTAATGGTGGTGATGGTGGGGGTCTCTGGATAAGGCCATGTTCCCCAAACAGTGCTTTCGACATGTTGCGCAATTGCGCGTTCTAGTGGCGACGCCTTGCGCACCGAACCACCTTAACTCATCTGTTTGGGGTCCACGCTGCACGAATCCTGATCTGAACCGCACGTGCGGCGAGAACGGCACACTACAATGAAAAGACTCAAGATGCGCAACAAACAGCATCGGTCTCGGCACCGTTCTCAGGAAGAGGGGCACAGTCAGAGAGCGCCAAAGCAGACGACGAGTGGGACGATGATATAGGCAGGAGAGACAGGGAGGGAGGACCAGGGGCCAAGAGGTAGATAGAGGGGGCAGAGAATAGGGCGGAGAGTAAACAAGTGCGATCCGCGCTTCGCTTCCAAATTGGGGTGGTCAACTTGATGGGTGGGCCTCCACACGGGCGAGGTAATGTCGGTCGTGGCAAACTGCCCGCCTGCACCTCATCTGACATCTACTCCTCCCACATGTTTGAATAAGGACAACTTCGGGGGACGCCGAGATGGCTTCAAGATAACCTCTGGCAGATACATTCTGGATCCATCACCGACGGGGCGCCTTACTTTCGACTTGAAGAACTAACGTGTTTCACGCTTCGGGAGTTGAAAGGGGGAGTTGAATACTACATTCAACTCTCTCGGGTCTTGGGGATTTCGCAGTTCTGCAGAGGAGGCCCATCTCTGAGGAACCCACGCAGCCAAGTCCACCTGCTCATCCGGGCCGACGGTAAGACTCGGGTACGGGGGACTCGGGTTGGCCTGCCGGGGCCATCCTCAAAATGACGCGGCCCTATCTGAAAATTGACGCGAACTCCCGCTGCAGACATCCCACGAGAACTGCACCGTCAAAATCCAATACGCGCTCGTCAAAAAACGTCCGCAAACCCGAGTTCCGGCACCTTCTTCCCATAAGCCGAGCTTCGAATCCGACTGTAAAACAGTCCAGGGGCACTGAGCCCCTCCCCAGTGAAAGGGGCTCCTTCTTCAGCGGCCCGACTGTGAAACACAATTGCACGGAGGGGGACGCGCCACTCTCGGGCCGTCTTCGGGGGGAGCGAGGGGAGTGGTATGCGCAGTTAGACGAGCGCGGCCCACTGCTCGCAGAGTGACTACTGGCAAATGGCCTGGGTCCGCCGCGGGGGATCTACGATAAAAATGACATCAAAGTCAAAGCAGACAATGGGTTGTTCGGGAGGTTTGCGAGTAGGCACTTTGTGAGCAGTGGAGCGCGCTCGGTGAGAAGTGGGCAAGCGTACCCAGACCGGCACCGGGAGCACAGCGGCAGGAAGGACAGCACGAGGAGCCCTGCCGAGGAGGAGCGCCAGAGGAGAGGTCACAGTGCGGTCGCACCGCAAGAATAGCGTCCTTCGAGAGCAGGAGACCCTCCTCCGGCGACAGCAACTTGAACATCCAAGGGTGCCCTCCCCAGGATGCACAAGAACGCCCAACAAGCACGAATAACACTACAGTCGGGGCGTTGACCTAAGGAACCCTAAATAAGGAACGAGGCCCCTTTTTTCCAGAAGTTAAACTTTGGAAAACGGTCGAAAACGTAAGGAAAGCCTGAGGCGAGCTGTGAAACACTTAAGGAACGCAAAGCCCCTCCCCAACGAAAAGGGTTCCTTCTTCAGGGCCGGGACTGTAGGGCACCCTCCCCGAACCGACCTCAATCTCATGTCCCGGTCCGACTGTACGGATGGATCAGGGATCCCTGGATCTGGCGCATGGGCACATGGGCGCCAGATCCACGGACCGGGGCAACGCAACCCCGAGACAGGCCGCCGATGACGCCAGATTTGGCGGCGGGGCTCGCCGATTACGTACGGAAGCGGAACCCGTCGCTAACCCACGCGCCTGAAATATGCTTGCACTTCCTCGACCCTTGTCCCTCCACCTCACATCCTCCCCCAAGCGACTCCTGATCCCTGGCCGCTCCACTCCTCTCCTCCTCGGCTCGCACTGCCTCCGCTCCGCATAGGTTCCCCATTCCCCCTTTGACCACCCTCTGCATCCCCTCCCCATCCCCTCCCAATCTCACCTCCCTCCGTCGCCCCCAACTCCATCTCAATCCGTTTCCTCCCTCCAATTCCCCCGCCTCCTCGGCCACGTCCTCTTATCTCGCCTCCCACCCGTCTCCCAGGCCGATCTCCCCACCGCCCTCCTGTTCATCTTCCTCCTCCCCCCCCGCCATCCTGTTCCGCTTCCTGTTCCGCCCCCTCCTCCTCCTCCTCCTCCTCCTCCTCCTCCTCCTCCGCCTCATCCGGACTTCCTGTCCATCGTGCTCCTCCTGCTGCCCCTCACCCCGCCTCGGCGGCGGGCTCTCACCATCTTCCTCCTCTGCTGCGGGGCCCTCGTCGTCGCCGTCGTGGTCCCGCCTCATCGTCGTCTTCATCGTCGGCTTTCTGGTGCGGGGCCCTCGCCATCCCAACTCGTCGTCGTTCTCGTCGTCGCCGCCGTGGCCGTCGCTGTCGTCGCCGTCGTCGCCGTGTAACCGTCGTCGTCATCGTCGCCGTCGCCGTCGTCGCCGTCGTCGCCGTCGTCGGCAGCCGCCGCCGTTGCCGCGCGCTTCTGGGGCGGCGGCGGCTTCGCGGGCGGCGCGCGGCGGCGGGCCCTGGGCGAGGGCGGCCGCCGGCAGAGCGGCGAGGGGGGCGTCCGCGGAGCTGGGCGGCGCGGGCGCGGGCGCGGCGGGAACCGAGGCGGACGCGACGGCGACGGCGTCAGCGGCGTCGGGCGCGCGGCGGCGGGAGGCGGCGGAAGCAACGGCAGCGGAGGGGGAGGGCGGGGAGCGGGGGCAGCGGGGGGGCACAGGAGAAGGCCGAGGAGGAGACACGGGAGGACTCCTGCTCTGGTTGTATGCTCTCTGGAGGAGTTCGAGGCGACGGAACCCTCCGATGACGTGCCGAAGAAAAGGGAAAGGGGGGCAGTAGGGATACTGATGAAGAAAGCCAGAAAGGAATAGGGGGAGGGTGGAGAAAAGAAAAGCACGAGGAGGAGGAGCGCACGTCCCTCATCGGAGACGTTGTTCTTGTTTTGTTTTACCTGGGCGCCGCGCGCCGCCGTGCATGCACGGGCCCAGCCTCAACGCGGCGTGGGCCGCCTTGAAGAGGTTGGTGTTCTGCCCGTAGCAGCTGGACTTGATGCGGTAGGTGCCCGCGGGCACGGAGACGCGGCGCAACGCGTCGACGCAACTGTTCCGAACCGCGTCGCAGTCGTACTTCAAGCGGTCGGTCTTCATATGGTAGGCCTGGTGCATCACTGCGGGGCGCGCGACTTAATTGACGACGTTGCTTTCGCACGACATGCCGTAGTCGCGCCTTCCCAAGCCCATGCGCGTCAAAGGTCGGGCGCCAGCATGCCGGCTTGGTGCTAGGTTCGGCGGCAAACCTGCTTTGGTCGTTTTCCCACAGTCGGCGGAAGTGTTACAGAGGGGCTCCTGCCCGCGGGATAGGACCGACCGCCGTTGCAGCCTGGATGTGCCTGCTGATAAGGAGCTGATCGACCCAACATTCGGGGCACCACTGCCCGTTGATGACCTCGACAAAGGGTCGATTTTTTTTACAGCTGCCGAGTCGGGCATGTGGCATACCGACTCCGAACCAAGGAAAATGAACGTTGCTTTCCTCCACGCGGTGGCCGCGGGCATGATTTCGAGGCCCGTCGGGGCGTCTGCGCCGCGCCAGGTTCGCATGGCCAGAATGTCCATTTTCGCGAAAGAAGGCGGGGCGACGCGCAAGAGCTTGTGGAGCGAAACGGGACATTGTCATGATGGTGGGCCCGTTGTAGAGTTGGACGCTCGGGGTGGGCTGTTAGCTGGTAGAAGCCACCAGCATCTGGAGTCGCGACCGCCAATTTGGCCGCGGGCGTCTGCCATCGATGCGTGAGCGATGCCGTTTGGCCGATGGAAACGCCTGAGTACTTGGCCGCGCCGCTGATGGTGACCGCCGCCCACAACGAGTCGACGGTCATCATCGCGCCGCGGATGATGCCGAACAAGAGAGCGTAGAGGTGGTCCACAGTGGTGCCAGAACGCGTAAGGTTGATGGTGAAACGGGCAATCCAAGGTCAACTGAAGCTCGACTGTCGACGTCAAACGCATCGAACCAACGCGCCAAAATCGCGCCGCGGCTATGCGCGTTCGAAGCTGCCCGGCGGGCGCGGGCGGAACTTGGGCCGCCGATTCGGGGGGCGCGAACCGCCCTGCGTCGCCGACGCCATGGGCCAATAATGTCGTAAACATGCCTACGCGCGCCCTGCCCGTCACGCGACCCCCGAGGCGGGCGACCTTGAAGAGCAACAGCGGCTGGGGGCAGAGGGAACGACGCCCGGGGGCCAAGACGAACGCGGAGCAGGGGGATGGGGGAGGGCGAGCGACAGGGGGCGACATCGTCGAGGGGGGGAAGGAGGGCGAAGCTCGGGCGACAGCCCGAGGAGCGAGCACGAGGGAGAGCAGGCAGAAGAGCGACGCATGACGGCGGAAAGAGAGACGGCGACGCCGCCCGGAAGTCAGGCGAGCTGGGGAGCAACGCCGGCATTCAAACTTCGGACACAGATGCATATACCGCAAACGATATAAACAAACGCATCACAATTCCTCTGCAGGACAGAATGCCTGAACCAGGAAGAAAAGCGGAGGGTGGGGAAGGGGCCGAGGGCTGGGGCATCTCGCGGTCCGCGGCCCAAGTTTTTCTGGCCGCTAACGCCCGCGGGGAACGGGCCCCGCCCAGCTTCGCCCCCCGGCGCGCAATGCGCGCGACGGTGCCCCCGGCCGCGACGACGGCGATGCGATGAAGCATGTCCCGCCGCAGCGCGGCCGGCACCTGGCCTTCGCTGTTCGCCGCCGCCGTCGCCACCGCGCGGACTGCGGCGCCCGCGCCCGTCGACCTGCCGCCCTGGGCCTCCTCGAACACGACTGGCCTAACTGGAGGCCATGCTCTCGGCGCCGCCCCCCCGCCCGGTTGAGCTGCCGCTTCTGCTCGTCGCGCGCCGCGGCAGCGAGCCCCAGCGCCGCGGCCGCGCCCGCCCGGCCGCGACGGCCTCAGAGCGTTGATCAAGGCGAAGTCGACGTAGACCTTGTCTGCCCCCGCCGCGCGGCTGCCGCCAAGCAGAATGAGCGCCGCGGTGCTGCGGGAGATAACGGGCGCGTCAGCCGGCGGGTGCTCGCCTGATGCCTCTCGCGTTTCGCGTGCCACGGGGTCGCCCGGCAGCCCTGGCGCCGACGGCGCGGGGCGCGGTCCGCCGCGGGCCGGACAATCACCGAAGGCGTCTCTGATTGCATCGCACGCAAGCGCGGCGCCTCCTCCGCTCGCGCGCAACAGGCAACGCATCGACGCCGAGCGACGTCGCGACGCTGTCGGCGAACTCGCCCGCGGAAAGACTCACGTCGAGTGTCCCGGGCGGGGCGAGCTCGTCCCGAATCCCCGCCCCCTGCGCTGAACGCGCTCTCAGTCGACCCCCGTCGGCTGGCCGGCTCTCCTCGCGCCGTGCCTCGACCGTTGCGCTCCGCACTCCCCGGAAATTGCCTGGGCCAACTCCGCCTGGGTCGCCGACCCCGGGGCGTCGCGGCCCAAGGTGGCTGCCAACCTGGCCGCGGCGCCCGGCAGGGGCCTGCTCGGCGCGCCGTCGCACTGCCAGCCCCTGGGCCAGATGCGCACGCGCAGGTCGCGCGCGGCCGCCAGCGACGCCGCGCGCGCGGCGCCCATCTCCAACGAGAAGCGCCTCGGCCCAAGCCGGGCCGCGGAGGTGGCCAGAGGTGGCGAAGGCGGCCTGCCTCCTCTGCAACTCTGCCCATCGCTGGCCCACGGCCGCGGCGGGCGCGCGCTCCGCCTCCTCGTCGCAGCGGGGGGCGGCGCCCCGCAGCAACGCTGCCGGGGCGCTGCGAGACGGGTAGGTCATCCCCCCAGTTTTGACGCATTGCCCCAGCTGGTAACGCGTGACCTGGGGGCCTCCTAGCTCCGCCAAGAACGACGAGATTCCCCATGCGCTTCCTGGCCGGGCGCGCAGTCGGCTTCGCGGCACTCCTCCTCTCAGATCGGGGATGTCAGCACCGCGCAGCTGCCGTCCTGGAAGGCCGCGCGCCCCAGCTTCACGAAAAGGGGCGGCGTCGATCGCGCCCCGCGCCCCAGCGGCCCGGGCCACTTGCAGCGTCGAGAATTGGAAGCGGAAAGTACACGCATTAGCTGGAAGGAGCTGTTTTTGCTACAGGAAACAAGCCTTCTATTAAAGTGCATTTGCTGTGCTGAGCGACCACCGCGGCGGCGCGTCCGACTTGCCGAGCCGAGCCGCGCCCTTCGCGCGCGCCCTGAATCCGCTGTCAAGGAGCATCTGCAACTCGCTGAGAACAGGCCCAAGGGTCGCCGCGACCCGACGTAACGCCACCCAAATCTCCCCAGAAAATGCATCGCGGAATGAACTGGCAAGACAGACAAGGGCCCCCCGCCCCCCGATCGGGCCCTGCCCCCGCGTCGCCGCCGCGCCCCCGGGTCCGAATTGAAGCAGACCGCGGACTTCACTAACGCGCAGAATCGGCTTAACTAAGGCGGGACAACGGCTATACTAGAACGAGGAAACGGCTTCACTGATGCGAACGAACAGCTTTCATAGAGGCGCGCCGCTCGATGCATTCTGGACAAAGAACGACGTTCTAATGATGCAAGAAAGGAGTTTTAGCAAAGCGGGGGGGCGGCAGGGGTAAAACTGAGCGCAGGAATGCTGCTCCCCCCGTGGAATCTAGCCCGGGGCTCCAGAAGCGAGGGCGGGGCGCAAGTTCGCCCGCGGGCCCGAGCGCCGTCGCCGCCGTCGCCGCGACGTTCGTCGTCGCAGCCGTCGCCGCGGCCGCCGTCGTCGTCGCCGCGACGCCCGCGAATTCGCGCCACTGCCCGAGGCGCTCGCGCCTCCGCTCGCCCGACGGGGGCCCCAGGCGGACATCGTGATTTTTCACAACTCGTTCAAAAGTCATCCTGCGCGGGCGATAATAGTGCCCCAGGGATGATGAAGTTCGGGGTTCAGGCGGGGATAATGGAACAATTCCCAGGGATAAGGGCGATGATGATGATGGCGTCGATGACGATGGTGACGATGGTGATCCTGGGCGCTCGGCGCAAGTCTGAGTCGAGAGATGCCGAGGCTCGTGGCTACGCGCTCGTGGCTATACAAGGTAAATCACAATCCAAGCGGCCCCCATGGCCCTGCCGCGCGTTCCTGACTCGGGAACGGCTGAGAAAACGAAAAATCCCATGGCCCTGCCGCACGTTCGTACCTTGAGCAAACTGAACTGGTGGGAATCCCACAGCCCTGCCACACGCTCGTGGTTGCGGACGCTGGTGTGGTGAGACCACCTTGGCCATGCTCAGCGCGTTTGATGTCGCTGCTAGTCCACATGATATGATAGCAGCTTCGATTCTCAACTTCCCCCGCGGAGCATTAGAGAATTAACGGGGTGGCGAGGGGGGGGTGGGGGGGGGGGCAGGCTTTATCATCGCCCGCGCCCGGTTGGTAGTGGGAAACAAATGCCCCTTAAAGGAGCGATGGCCGACGGCGGGCATCACAGCCTCGAGGCGCGCGATTGCCCGCAGCACCTCGATCGTTGGACGAGCCTGCGACGGGGGCGTCGTTAGCGAAGCTGGCGGCCGCGCGCAGACGCGCAGACGCACAGGGCGCTCGA